GATACCTATCGGAATTTTGATCGTATCACTAGCATAAACAGATGCGCCGGGACACGTGCATGATATTTTTTTCAGACCGTTTTTCGCTCTTAGGACAATTTTCCTTGGATAAAAACGGATAAATTTGAAATTACGGTATGAATTGTTGTTGCGTTTACTGATATTCATTTAAAAAAAGCATTTCCGATAACCGGAACGTGATGGGCATTTTGCCGTGCCTGCTCGTCTTTTTTTTGCCTGCGTATGCCACTGATTGACTCACAGAATCACTTTTTTTAAACACATTGCATTCTGTTATTTTTTGTTCTAGCACGAAGACGCTCAGTTGGAAAATTCACAACAACAACAACAGCTACAGCAGCAGCATGTTTCTATAACAAATATTGATAATGATGGACTTGAAGAATTGGGAACGACAACTGTTGTTGTTGCTAGTGGGCGACGAAATTCGGTATCATCAACAACTAGTAGTTGTACAAGTGGAAGTACCCAAACATCTTCATCGTCGTCATCATCATCCTCATCAACGTCATCTTCGTCGGCTTCATCATCATCAGCTAATTTGGAAACACAGCCAGAAGATAATGCCGAGAAGAAGCCGAAACAGCATATTCAGCTTCAGGTACAACAGGATAGCGGTTCCGAGTTGACAAGAACTAATGAAGTTGCGAAAATGCCGGACCTAGTTGAGCAAGCGAAAACTGACAAAGAACTGAAAATTGGTAATGGAACAAATGCGGTACGTGTTCAGAATCGTCTACCAGCTATTGAAAAGATCAACTTTGTGGCAAGTTCAGACGCTGAATGCTCGGCAGTTTCTATGGTGCATCGTTCGAATTTTACTAGTGCTAATCAGGAACAACAACAGCAACAACAACAAGACAGCGGGAATCTGGTGGAGAGGGATGCAGATGTTCTGGAAGCTGTGAACGATGCGGAATCGACTGGTAGCTTCGAACTGATTGACGAAGGACGTGTTGGTGATAATGATTCACTGCTTGATCAGGATTGTGTTGCTGCTGCTGATGATGATATACTACAAGAGCAGGGGCAACAAAATCACAATCAAGAATCTGTTGATGATGCGGAAAATGAAGAGCGTGAGCAACAGCAACAGCAGCAGCAGCAGCAGCAGCAAAATGCTGATGAGACGGAATGCCCTGCGGATGTGCAACAGCCAGATGCCCACGATTTGCAGGTCTGTGCATGCAAATATCACTATTTGTTATTGTAATAGATTTTGTTTTTTTGCACAAGTAGCACTGCACTGTAAAACTTGGTAAGGGGTGAGGAAAAATCGGGGAAGCTGTGGGAGGAAGAGGAGGAGGTAATAACAGAAAAATGCTCGAAACAGAATGTTCAGTTACTGGGGTGAGGGTTACTGTAACTGCCTCGTGTGGATTACTGTAACTGCCTTGCACAAAAAATGTGATTGGTCCGAACTGGGGATACATCAGGGTACCGTAATATCTTGGAAAGTTTCTGTTACTCGAGGATACTGTAAACCCGCGAATTTGAGAAATCCACGCTGATTACCCGGGCATTGTTGTAGATGGGGTGCTGTTTTGCGAATTGGTACTGACTTGCGGGGGAGGGGGGAGAGGGGAGGGGAGGAATCGGACGCCAGTCATCTTCACATCTGGACGCAGCGCGCTAAGCCATTGCACTACTGGCCCATGTGCTCCAGGATCAGTCACCTGGGGCCATTTTTTGTTGTGTATGTGCCTTAATGCAGCGTGCACCTTTCTTTTATTAGCTTTTCACGGATCTGCCGTGATGGGCGGTCTCGGTGATTACTGTCGGATTGGAACCGGCAGGATAATTTTTAGGTTAGAACCGGCAGGATTACTGTAGGATCAGAACCAGTAGCGAAGTACCCTGAAATATCGTCCACAGTGCTGTAATAGATCGGGGATTTGTTTTATTAAAATTTTGCTTAGGGACCTAACTATCTGCTCATTTGGTTTTCCTTGTATTTGTTGATTCATGGCTTATTTTAAATAGGTTTCCCCATTGCTACACTAGCAAGCATACTTAGTTGCCATGGTTTTTTTATTTTTATCTCGAAAAAAATCAGCCACTTAGACCACCTCGAAGAAACAGGGCCGTGCGC